GATTTTCGCATATCTCAAAGATTGTAAGCAAATTTTTACATCCAAGTTAAAAAAAAGGGTGAAAATTAAAGGGGCATTTTTTGTAAATGCAACGCAATTCTTAGGTCTGTGCAATAATTTCCATCGCTAGTAAATTTCCACAGACAGTATTTATGATAATACTGCAGTTAACACAGCACACTGAATATAGCATCAACATCACAAATACTATAAAAAATAAATACCCATTTTCCAAAAAAAAGAAATGGATCGAAAATTTTGCACAGACCTAATAAATAAACTTCTGAACAGAAATATGGTAACGATCCCAAAATGTAACGTAGGGTGGTCCATCTCACACGGGAGAGCCCTGTCTCTCCCTAATTTACCCTTCACGAATTTGGCACCACTTTGATGTATATCGACCGAAACAGTACAGAACCCAATCGATACGGCGCGATCATCGTTGCACAGCCTGCTTTGGACACAATTAAAGCGAAATTACAGTTTTTTCGTATGCAAGCAGCCCAGCTGGCAATTACTCACTTCGGAAAACATTGATTGCAACCTTTGCAAAAGGGCTTCCGCTGTGATTAATGAAACACGGCGGCCGTGGAAGAGAGAGAGAGAGAGGTGGGACGCGAAGGGAAAGGGTTAAATACAATTTCGTACGTCAGCCGACGTGAGAAGATAACAACCTTACCGCCTGGGAATTTATCCTTCGGTGCCGATCAAGCGTTACGCGTTTCTGTCTTTTTGTCACCGTCTCGTTAACGTTAACGAATGGTGCTCTCTGAATGGGTCTCTCTCCCGTTGATCCCTATTTCCGCATTCCCTCTACCTCGCCTCTACCGCTTGTATTTTGATAATTGCACGCGTGTACAATGTGAACAGAATTGAACGTTTCCGTTGCATTGACAAATTGCCGCGAATTTATCACGGCCCCGCGATTGTTCCATTCTTTACCGGTGCGCGCGATGTTCACCGGAGGAAAAGAACGTGGATACGAAAAGTTGGATAATCACCGCTTCTCGTCAGGCCTTGGAATCACCGTCTCAATTTCATTCCTTTTTCTCTCTACCCACACCGCGTATACTGGATTATGATTATAGAACTGGGTTAATATTAATTAACGTCGTTCCTCGTTCGAGGTTTCAAATGGACGTCGAATAATTATTATCCTGCCAGGGCTGTCTTTATCTTGGACATTGCGCAGTTAACGTCCGACGATTTTTCTATTCGTTCACGCAAGCTAGACGGTCAGGTTGAGCTTTGCTGTGTCGAAGCATTTTTGAATAGAAAGCAGGCGTGGTGGAGCGATCGATGTGGTAACGGAACAAAGTAAATCGAAAGTTAACGTGAAATGTATTCTTCGAAATAAATAATACACGATCGCAACGAGGATAAATATCGTTATATGTTTGAAAACATCCATATTTTTCTCTCTTAAGTTTCGAGAATTGCTCGTTTCACTTTGTGTATTGTTTACGTTACGTTCTTCGCTTGGTGTTGAAGTTGGAAGGATTTCACGAGAAAGATAGAGAAATTTTGAAAAAATTCTGATCAGCTGGAATGATTTGCACGAAATTCGCCTGTTTACCAGAATTTCTTAATTCGTACCTCGAGCTCTAGCAGGCGGAAAAAATTGTTCCAGTTCCAGCGTCGGACGTGGTCGCGTGTGGCTGAAACGCGTGAAGCAATAATATATCTTTGCACATCCTGCGTTCTCCGGTTAACGAGCGTTTTTAACGCTATTTACGATACACGCTTTACCGCAGAGTTGTGTATCAACGGATTAACGTCGTTTATCATAGATTCGAAGATAAAAGCATCGATATTGAAATTATCATAAGTAACCGGTGAAATAAACACGACGTCTCACTGTCAACGCTATAAATTCGTCTTTACGATTTAAACGTCCTCGGGGTAACTTCGCGACTGTTCTTTCCCTCCAGTTCTACAAAACGAATTTCCTCCTTCACCGATGCTCATTTCGGTAGCAAATGTCGACTATTCTACTTCCCTCTTTCTAATTCCGGAAAGTGTAGAATTCTCAATTCAAGTTACACATCCTTACTTTCCTTCCAGACAACTTTTATCAGCAGACACACAGAGTAGCAAAGAAGTTTCTCACTTTGTTTGTTTCCTATCGAGATACTTATCGAATTACGATTGCAACGTTTGGAAAAAGAATGCCGTTCGTGCAGTGGTCGGTGCTATTTGCTTAAAGGTTACCTTTGTCAACCGATCAATTTTCACGATATCCGACATTCTCCTGTGACGTTGCGCTGCTTATTTGCTTTTTCACCGTGGAATTGCAACTCTTTACCGGGTTCGACCGGTCGTTTACCGGTTTTCACGTGTGTACAGGGTGTTCCATTTGATTTGAGAAGTGATTTTTGCCACACGGTGGCTCGTAGTCGATCGAATATCACACGAAAGTGGGGGTAGACACTACACCTTACAGATTCGCGTTAGAACGAGTGCACGCACAACGAGTGGAAGGTGTAGACGAGTGTACCTTGGCGAATACGTGTCGTGTACTGAGTACATATATACCAGTACCCATTTGCAGGAACCAACAGTTTACTTCCACTGTTCGTTACTGACTTTCTACGAATCTTGCTACTGTTCGCCTCGAAAGCGAAGCCATCGACACCCCGTCTCGTTGATCGATTCTCGCGGCAAGGAGAGGTACGTTCAACGTAACCCAAAATGTACGGTTCGCGGGTGACATTATCTTTTTTCGCTCTTTGTCGCAAGGGAACGTGACAGAATTTGACGGACGGTAACTCGATTGAAATGGTGTTTGAAATTTATCTCGACACATCTCGAAGACACTTACCACGCGATTCATCTCGAAGATTGTCAGTGCACGACGAGAAATTTTTTATTTCGAGACTCATCGATCGTTCGATTTGTTTGGAAATTGTTGACGTTAGATGAGAACGGTACGGTGATTTTTTCTATTTTTTTTTTTTTTTTTTTGAAAATTTAACAGAGTTTTCTATTTTGCAACGAATTCCACCTGTGTTATGTTACGTTCAGTTTCACTTCCGCGAATTCGACAAGGGAAGAGTGTAAATTGAAGTATAAATTACACAGTACAGAGCAATTCAGATTTTATCTACGCAATGTTGCTGGTACACGTTTCATCGTTTGCCTTCGCGAAGAAATATATACACAGGTGGTTGAACCGGAAACGTTATCGATCAAACTTGGTCGAATCTTCGTTGTTGTTAGAGTGAGTTCAATTAGAACGGGCTATGAACCGTAAACGACACGATTAGGTATCGAGTTCGATCGATCTGTTGCAACGTTATACTCCGGCGTGTAATAGTTTCGAAATATAATTCGACTCGATTCATAAAGTGATAGGGAAACCCGGCACGTGCCGTTTTCCATTTCTCTTCGCGTGCCGAACGTGTAGCCGAATAGAATGTAAATTCACCGTGCTTACTGTAGTTTTATGTGCCGCCGAGAACAAGATTTACATGCTCGCGCATAATTTCTGGAATTTTGTTACGTGAACTGCTTCGCACATGTGTGCGCCGCTTCTGTTGACCCCTTACGCTCGAATTTTTCTTAACTTGACGTGCCGAAAATGATCGAATTTACTTTTTCTTTCTTTTTTTTTTTTTTCCTTATTTTCTCGGTGTAGAAATAAGTGTTTCGTTTGTTTACAATGATGTGATTTCAATTTTTGCGATAGAATGGAAAGGACAGCGTGATATGAAACGCGAGGGAGAATAATTGGAGAAATTTGCACTTTTTAAAGGGTTAAATCACCCAAAAAGAGTAATTTTTGAGCTTAGCGCTGTCCTCGGGTCATTTTTGACCCGTCGCCTTTTGATTTCTTTCTTTGGTAATTTTTGTTGTTATCAAGCTTGCGTTCCTTTGACACTAAAGTAAAGTTTGATATTTAATTTATTTTATATAAAATTTGTGAAGTTGCAAATATGTAAAATTTGAAATCGACGATATCTGAAATTTGATATGCAATTTTTTTATTATTACTATCTAAAGGCTGTTTTCTGCGTTGCTTCCTATATTAAATTGACAGTCATCTGTGCTCCTCTCGGAAAAATATGATCCTTCTGTCGTAATCTGTTATTTGACTGAGAAAAAAAAAAATTGTCACACGTAAGGTCTTTGGGTCGAAAAAGACCCGAAGTGCAATTTTTTTTGCATTTCGATATTTTTAGTCACATCTATTCGTAGATTGTCCAAACGCAAGAAACAGTAGTTTCGTGTAAAGCATATTACCTGTCTGTGCTCATCTCCTTTCTCCAACGAAGTGGGAACAAACAAAAACTGAAAAGGAGGGAAAGCAGGATTCTTGCAATAATATATTCGACGTTCTCCAAACACGATTTCCGTGTTTCTTCCTTGGAGGCTGAGGGAGGATAGCACACGCACTCAGTTTCCTGATTTTCCTTCAATATCAAGCTCAATTTAACTTTCATTAGGTTATTGCCCGTAATTTGCCATAAAGAAATGCAACAAACACGAAAAATAACTACAATAATTCGAAAAGGTGCCGACGTTGAAAGCTTCTCAAACGAATTTACACTTTAAACGAGCTAAACGTACAATCTACCTAACAAGGCTCGTAATTTCGCGTCTGTGCTACGAGAAACTGCTATTTTTCACGTACACCTTTCACAATCTACCAGTACTTATTACAATTTTTGCACGATATATCTCCTATCATTCATCGCAGAATCGAGCCTGCACAGGAAAGTGAGAGTTCCCACTAGTTAGATAAAGATGCTAATGAGAAACCGCTCGAACCGACTGCAAGCACGAAAAGGAACAACGAAATATAGAGTTGACTTTAGAAACGACGTCCTTATAAGTGACCGGTAATAACTTGGAGTATCGTCTGAAACGTTAGGCCAATTAGAGAGAAAAATCGAAGGGAATCTGAGCGAAGTGTTGATAAGTTATCGTGTAGTTCTGCTATTTCAGAGATTCAGGTGCGCACCTTTGAGACGAATCGCCCCACGGAAACGATAGAAATGTTGTGGAAATTTCTTTGCATGAGTTTCCTATTCCTGGGAAGTGAAAGTGCCAATGAGATCCAAAGATGGGGCTCGCAGTTTGGACAGGCTCCGCTCTTGGAGAGATTTTTTTGGAAAACCTTAGATTTCGCTTATCCGGACGATGCGAGCAGAAACTTCGCGATGATGAAGGGGGAATATATACCGGAGAATGCACTGCCTGTTGGTATCGAGGTCTGGAGGAACAAGCTGTTTGTCACCGTACCAAGATGGCGTAATGGTGAGTTGAGGGGACGAGGTGATAAGAAGTACTGCTGCAGCGATAGGGTTCGTTTATTGGCCCAATTTTAACTGAAACGGAACTTTGGGGTTGAATAACTTTTTCAGAATGTGGCTGATTTGGATGAAATTTAGCGACGTTGTTCAGTACTTCTAGAAGAATGTGTCGAGCAAAGGAAAATGGGGTTTGGTGGTATTATATACCAGATAATCATTTTTAGAACGTTGGAACTGCTCGGGTCAATTTTGACCCGAAATCGAACTCTGACCTTAAATACCTTTTTTGAGAAAATACCTGATTTGTATGAAATTTAGCGACTTTGGTCGATGCTACTGGAAGAATTTGCCGAGTAGAGGCAAATGTGTTTGGTGCTGTTTTGTAGGAGATGATCGTTTTTAGGAGTTTGGTACTTTTCGGGGCAATTTCTGAGTACAAATGCACAGCAAGCAAAGCCATTATATGAAAGAATTGTTTGTCTTTTATATAGAAATAATATGTCATTTTTATATAATTTATGTGGAAAATTTTGAGAGTGACACGAGAGTCGAAAAGGTACTCTGAGAAATGTGTCCATTCGACGTTCTTGTACAGTTACTCTCGCTAATATTCGGACACTCTTTAGAACGGTACAACTGTTTTCAAATTGGACCAAACGACTTGAGCTTTTCGAGAAGTTAGAAGGATTAGTATACTAAAGAGATGACAAAGGTCGCTTTTCACATCTTTTTTATCCGAGCCAGTAATGAAAATTTAAAAAACACGTTTTATAGATTTATATCAATTATATGTATACATGCTGAAAATTTCTCTCGAGAGCAACTCTCGACAGTTTTACTCCCAGACGAACACGTGCCTTAACATTCATCCATATATTCTCATGTTTTCTCATTTTCACGCGTTTTCAACGTTCACCTAAAATCGCCGAAAGAAGAAGGTGCTCGATATGCAACAGTGGTACGAGAATTCCTAGGAACGTCTCGAGCGAGGGACACGATTCTATCGCAAATAGAATGCACAGTGCACGACTCGAATCCTGTCTGGTCGACTTCCGGCTGGCAATAAAAAGTGCCGAAAATTGCATGAGCGATTTCAATGGGGGTATTTCTGTGTCTCCGTCGACCTCCGCCTCCACCTCGAGTAGAAATCCTCCCCTCGAAAAACGGTGGCTCGAAAGGGAACCCAGGGGTGAATAGGCTTATTCACTCCTGTGCTCTTTTATTTCTCACTTTTTTTCTTCCTCTTGGTACTTTATGTTTGTTATACACGTTGGCGCGCGCCACGCTATTGTGCATAAAATCGAGAAGAAACGACAATACCGCCGGCACACTGTACACGAGCTTTCACATTTCCATCTTCAACCATTCGGTTTTCGAATACTTCCTCCCTTTTGCTCATACACTCGTGATTTTTCTTTTCTAGCTTCCTAATAGATTTCTTTGCCTCTGTACTTGAGCTTACCTTTTAATTATTTCTTTGGAGTCGTTATTTCTTCAAATTTTCATCTTTATCTCTAATTTTGATTGTTTAATCGGTTAACATGGTTTCGAGCGTATCTGAAGTGAACTCGGGCCGATTTTTCCACAGATTCAGCAACGATTTGGTCTTCTCCATTCGTCGAAGGTGAATCGGAATTTTTCTTTCATTATTCGTCTTCCTCCGGTGTTTCGCATCTTGCCTCTCTGCCTTGCATTTCTCGTTTATATTTGCTCTTCATTCTTCCCTTTCAGGAAACCGGTCTCCCGGGCTCGTTCTTTAAGCGCGCCAAAGCCCACCGTAGTGGGTATTGTTTTTAGGGCAAGTTTTTATACGTCCACAGCTTTGTTTCACTCGTTCTTTCTTCAGACGTCAGGTTCATTTGGAACGGCAAACAGAGAATGTGAAATATTAAGGGAAAAAGGGAAAGGAAGGGAAGGTTCTTGTTGCGCTCTCTCGCACCGACAGAATAGATTCGGAATGTTCAACGAACCCCCTTCCGGGAATCGAACGAGCAGGGATTAGAGGATGTGGGGTTGATTGTTTTAGAATTCGGCACGGTGTGGCGTGCAAAGTGGAGGCGAAGCGAGCTCGAGAAGTCGTCGAGTCTGTCGGGAATCACTGTTAATTATTCTTTTCTGGTAAACGACAGAGGGTAAATCGAGAAGTGATGAACCACGTTTTTTAAAGTAGAATTTTGTTTAGAATTAATCGAATGTAAAGTGGATGTAGTATATTGAATGAATTTGCAGTAATAATTAGACTGAGGATTTTTATGCATTTATGGAAAATTTGAAGACACAAAGATACACAGAGAAATACATAAATAAGCCCAAAATATAGTATTCCTTGTAATATTTAGAAAATAAAACAGTTACCTATCTACTTTTTTAATTATATTCGTGAAAATATGCATTTGCATACAAATCTGCAGTCTAGTAATAACGTTCAATAATACGGAAATTATACTTTTTCAAAAATAAGCATACGAAAAATTGTAACAATGGTCGCGAAAAACAGAAGACACTGTGCAGTCAAATTTAATAAAACATAATATGCCCATTTTCACATGTCGCAATCGCGAAATTTTAAGCAAGAAATTTTTACGCCCAAGTTAAGTTTACGAAAAACCCAATTAGACAAGCTTTTGGCGGGAAACGCAGCACATAGAACTGAAATATGATAATGGTTGTGAAGTTACGTGTGTGTGGTCCATCTCGCCTAAAATTCGTTTCACAATAGCGAAAGGCGGGGCAAGCCACGATTGCGATCTCTAAAATTTCCAAATTTTTCCAAACACACATGCTCCATGACACGCATGTTCCGCGTGTCCGTTGAAAAAAATTAGAGAACATTGGTGTGGCCTAGTAGCAGCACAACTTCGTCACGCGAAGGTGACAGGTGAAAGAGTTTCACGTCCCTATCGTGTAGCGATCTTGATCGTTGTGCAAAATTACTCGACTGTTCGCTATGCAAAAATCTCACAATAGTACGCTGGATATATCAGATGTCGTCTGATAAACTGGTAAAGGTAAGGAATGCTGCGTGTCAACTCTACGGGTCTTTGATTGTCAGCCACGAAGGTTACCACCCGGAATAGAGTGTCGCATATTTTTGTGACATTTCAATCAGGTGCATTTTTTAAAGCGACACTCGACTTCACTTGAGAAAAATAGCCGAGGTATTCGACCTCGAAGTAGCGCTTATCAACAACTTTTAATATCACGACTGCAAAGTATATTTGATAAAGCAAATAATTAACGAAATTATCGAAATTTTACTGGATACTTTAAATTTTGAATAGGTGCAATATTTGTTTGCACAGGTTCTCCGAAATATGCGAATGTGAAATTTAATTCGGTAGGTTTAACCCTTCTCCGGTGCTCGGGTCTTTTTTGACCCGTCGCCTCTTTACTTTTTTAGTAACTCTTGCTGTTGTCAAATTTATGTCCCCTCAACACTACGTTAAAAGTTTATTGTCCAGGTAACGAAAATTGTTACACGTGTGGTCTTTGGGTCCTTTTTGACCCGAACACCTCAAGTGTGTGTACGTTCACACGAGAAACCGCACTAAAGTTAAAAGCACTAATAGAAAGTTTGTTGAAATAGGCATGAAAAATTTTCATTTCGAACATTTTTCACGTTCCTTTTTGAACTCGTAGGAATACCAGCAACGTTGAATTACATATCTCTCGATACGAATCGAGGTGGTTCCCCGAAACTCACTCCTTACCCAAATTGGGTACAGAACAAAGCTGGAGCTTGCGGCAGCGCGATTACTACTGCTTACAGGTACATTCCGGGTGAAAAAGCTGAATTTTCTGCTTGGAAAAGATAAAAAGAATTTCCCTCGTTGAATTTGGAGAACTCAATTTTTCTACCGTTCTTACAGAATTCACGCAGACGTTTGCGACAGGCTCTGGGTGTTAGACACGGGCACGATAGGCATTGGAAACACAACGATACAAGCATGTCCTTATACTTTGAACGTTTTCGATTTAACGACAGATAAAATTTTGAGACAGTACAGACTCAAGGCGGAAGATATCAATATGGTATACACGTTTGTACAATCTCGAAGATTTCGACAGAAAGATTGACACTAGGTTTACGGGGCGCGAATTTCAGAAGGAAAATTAGAGAAACCGTTTATCCGTTTAGTACACAATATCACATAGTTTCATTTCGTTTTAAACGAAATATGTTGTTTTTTATAGAAAATGTGTGGTTTCGTTCACGCGTCAATTTGTCTGTTACTAATTAAAGTTTTACCAATCTGAAGTTACATTGACACTGAAATTTTCTCCTTTTTACGTCCTCTTTTACATTTCTTTATTTATTCGGACGATCGATGCATTTTCAAATTAATCAGCTTATTTCATTATCCAAACCTTTGTTTACTTATTTGCATCTTAGTTAAAGCTATCGTCTCAACTAAAATCTAACGTTCGCGTGTACAGCTGCCAATATTCCCCGAATTTACGCTACACGAGAAACGTCGCTAAACCTAGTGTTAAAATAGAGATTTTCAATTTTCATTCGGGTAGTTCATTGTCCAGAATATTGCCATTGCAGAACACATTTATCGCCAACATTGCCGTCGATTTGGGAAAAGGCGGTTGCGAGGACGCTTACGCTTACATGTCCGACGAGCTTGGATACGGTCTGATCGTCTATTCCTGGGAACAGAACAAATCCTGGCGTGTTACGCACAGTTATTTAATGCCGGATCCTCTCGCCGGCGATTACAATATCGGCGGTTTGAATTTCCAATGGGGCGAAGAGGGGGTTTTCGGTATGAGTTTATCTCCGATCGCCGCGGATGGATTCAGAACGCTATTCTTTCATCCTCTGAGCAGCAGACGAGAATTCTCCGTTTCCACGAAAATTCTCAGGGACGAACAATTGTCTCAGGATAGCTATCACGAGTTTCAGGTAACTGCGTTAATTGAACGATAATAATAATAATAAGATTAATCGTGGAGCTTTGTTGCACTGGTGTTACGACATCGAGGAAGAAAAGAAAAGGAGGAAATTGGTAAATTAGTAGAGACATTAATTTGCAAGTACAAATTAGAACGATCTTCAGCGATAGACTGATTCAGAGTGATAATACAGTAAGAAGTATCGTAACAATGAGAGCGCGAGTGATCCCATTTAACCCTTCCGCTGATTTAATCGCGGAAATTCACTGCGTAACGAAGTTTGTTTCGTTTTGAAATTCGGTTTATTAATTTGAGGTGGAACTGGGTGGGGAATTAAACTAAGAATTGAATTAAAGTGGAACTGCGTCGAGAGGGCTGCAACGGTGTAGTGAGAGGAAATTTTCGAAATAGCAGCGAAAGGGTTGAAGTGCTGGAATCAGTTTAGGTGTTTGAATTTTTAATGTTGTTCTTCTGTGAGAAATTGAGAAGCAGTTATTGTTGTTAACGTTGCAAGGTTCTTCCTGAGAGAGGACCACTCGGTCACTGCACTTCCTCCGTTATGGACGAGAACGGACTTCAGTTCTTCAATTTGATTGATCAGAACGCGGTAGGTTGCTGGAACTCGATGATGCCGTACGAGGCTGAAAATCAGGCTGTTGTTGCTAGACACGATACCGCTATGATATTCCCAGCTGATGTTAAGGTGAGCCAGTTTTCTTTGCGGAGTAGTAATCTTTATTTCAGCCTTTTGCCTTAGAAATAGACCTCGGTCTTTACATTATTGTTTACAGTTCTTGTTTTCCATTTAACTTATTTAAGCAGCATCGGTACTTGGCTGATCTCACTTTCCTTAATTGTCTAGTACTGCCTACCAAAATTTTAACTTCACCTTAAATTACAAACTACTACATAATAAACTTATAATAAGGAACTATATAAACAAGATTTTACGCTCATCAACTAATATTAACTAATCTATAACTAATCTTTCTTTGGTTCTGTGCTTTCTTTTACTAACTCTATCTTCTGCTGGGTTTCTATATTGGTTATCCATTTCTTCTCTTCACTTTTTCTATTTTTCTAAGCCAGGCCACCGCTTCCTCTTCTCCTTCTTCCGCCAGGACCCTTATGGAGTATATTGTAAAATAAGTTAGAATCTTCTTGGTATTGGAGTTAGGAAAACTATTTAATGATTTAGTGTATTAACGATTTTGAAAGAAATTTCATAGTTGAAAAGAATTTTAAACTTAAATTCGAATGTTAATTCTTTTGGAAAACGATTTTAATTTTAATATTTGGAATGTTTAGGGAAACGATTTTAATTTGAATTTGAATTTGACCATCGATTCTTTAGGAAACCAGTTTCAATTTTGGTAATTTCACAATTTTAATAGGTGAATCGTGGTTTACTATGGATCATATCAGACAAAATGCCAGTATTTTTACTATCCACGTTGAACTACACCGATGTAAACTTCAGAATACTGACGATGCCAGTTAAAGAGGCGGTCGCAGGTACGGTTTGCGAAAATTCACCCTGGGGTTACATTAGCAATTCCCTCTGGTGGTAATGACGACTCTGCAACGATAAATGACAAAAGCTACACCGGTACAGATTTGTTGCATTAGTCTCTAATTACCTTAATTTTCGTTCGTTTTTTGTTAAGAGACGAATTGTTACACACGAATAAAATGAAAGGAAAACAGACGTGAACTGCTGAATAAATACTTCTTCTCCATCCAGAACCTCGTTATTCCATTTTTCAGCGCACAGAAGAGGAAGAAAAATTACGAGAGATACGTGAAATCCGAAATTTACAGATAACAGCCACTAGTTTCAGCGACAATTATCATCTGCCGCAAATCAATCCCAGTTGCGGAAGACCACACACCGTGGCTGACTTTTTATCTACCCGACGCTCGCTAAGTCCGTTCTATTTGTCACTGCTGGAAAGTCAGCAACCGATGTGCAAAAAGTGTTTTAGAAAGAGCTCGCGACTCTCGCTTTCGCAATTATACTACGCGGTTTTCATCTTACAAGGAAACTGCCGCGGCAATTACAGCGGACAGATCTTCTGGTACGTACGAACGTTCCTTTTAATTGAACACATTTTCACTTGTACACGGTTTCGTTTATATCGCACGATGGGGATAAAGTGCTAGGTTTTAATTCGTCGAGTGTCTCTTACTCTCTTCGGTCCTTTCTGCGGCTGTGAAATCTTGCTTCACCGACTCCTGGAAACTGAGCTTGACGTGAACGCGTCGTAGAATGTCGGGATTATTCGAAAATTGGCTCCGCTTCCTGGGAAATCGCGGCGTACACGGTGTGTTGTTGCACGATTAAATAAATTTCAAAGCAACTGTTTTGTTTTACTATTAAGTTTCTAAGCAAATAATGCCGTGCGACTTGAAAGTTACGTGTCGTGTAAGTAGTGTGCTTACCTGGTTAGGTGTGCAAACTAAGTTGCTGCATTTTTTCGCAAATTTGAATTTTTGTTTAAAAAAAAATTAGGCACATTAGTAATGTGACATTACTGTATCAAAGATTTCAGGCTTTTTAAATTACATTACTTTTATATTTTATTTTATTCTTTCAACTGTTCGTTTTTCTTCTCACGAGTGAAGACTTTATACTTATGTGTATTTTATTTGATTCTTTCAACTATCAATTTTTCTTGGTAAAAATGAAGAAAAATCAGGTTACAGAGGGCTAGCAGCTCGAACGGATGAAGCGGGCAACTGTTTGAGAAGCTCTGCTTGGCAGAGGTTTACTCAACATGCTACTGTAATAATTCTTGTGGTTTCTGCAGCGTGAAGACAGTAATCGAATTGACGTGAATCAGCCAACCCTACGAGACCAGATGGTTCGACTTGACCCATTAATTTGGCTCTCGTTTTCGATAATTTGAAGGCGACCAGCCGTTCGTTCTACGATACGATCGGCTATCGCTTTCCCCTTCCTCGAAAAATTATCCGTTTCACGCCCCCGCTCGTGAAATATTGCCACGCGCCTTCGCCTCCTTTCTCGAGGTAGAAAGCCGTCCAAAACTATTTTTCACTTTTTACTTCACCATTTTCGTCCGGCCAACAGAGAAAGCAATATCTCGGTCAACTCGGTAAGACATTCTTAGCAGAGCAAATTCCGTTGTTAACCCTTTGCACACGGAGATCATTTTGCTACGGGAAAGGATCTTTCCCGAAATGTTTCAAAATTAACGTAGAAATGAAGTGTACCATTTTATTGAAATATTCGACGTATTCTCTATTTCACGGAGGCCTGTGTTCTCCGTCTTCGTTAATTATTCACCAAGTGACGAACCAAGTGTTGAACAATTCTTGGATTATTCGAGTTGGAAAATTGCCAAGCGAAGTGTTCTCGTTTCTAATACCGTCTACATTGCGATACCGCGATCGCGTAATTCCAGCGAACAGGTAATTCGTTCGCAAATAACGAGGACGAAGAAGGCCGGTTAGAAATTAGGCAGGAATCGTGCATTAAGGAAGATCGGATCGATCGATTTGCATAGATCGCGTGTGCAGTTGTCGCCGTGGGGCGAAGAAATTACTCGGAAACTTGTCGGTGGTCCTGTAAGATTAAGGAAAAGATTCACGCCTTGAATGCTAATTTCGGAGATCGATAGATTGAAGATTGCGATTCCTCGTGGCTCTAACTGGCGATTAAAGGGTAAGGCGAAATACATCAAAGATCGGCGGCCGCGATAACGGTGCTGTTTTTTAATTTGGAAAACAGACCTTTCGCCGTATCTGTACAGCTTCCCTCAGATCGTGATAAAAAGGCGCCTTAATAAGGTCCGAAGCTGTCTCGTTAACCTTTGCTACCTGCCGACCGAATTGCATAAATCTGACCTTCGATTCTGTCAAATTCCATTTGAACTTGGCTATAAATTCTGAGAGATTTCGTTGAAATTTAGGACATATAGTTTGCAGTTACTAATCGCGGATAAACGCTCGGCGAAAAAGAAGAAAAAGCAAGGGTGCAAAGAAGAGGAAGGTCCGAGATTTCGCCCCGAGGGTTGTTATAAAAATAACTGGTCAAAATCATGTTGATTACATGGTGGGTTCGGAAATTTGCAGTTACAATGACGTCTCGCGATAAGACGGAACCCGTGGCATTTAAACTTTCAAGCACATTTCGTAAACACAGTCGATTAATTTTTATGACAACCACTTTACAAATTATTAGATTATTTTTATTAAAAAAAAAATTTCCAGCCAATTGTGTTTTCTTGGAATAATCGAAATTACCTTGTTGCACGTGTCAGAAAATATGGATTTCTTGTTTGCACGTTTAGCACTGAACAAACACTATCGAGCACTTTTATTTTTACAGAAATGAGTAGAAGTGAAATTTTAGAGAGAAATTAGTCAGAGTGAAGAGAAGCCACGTTTTTTTTTTTTTTTGATACGTTACTGAAAATCTGGCCCAGTTCAGAAGAGGCAGGACATTTTTCAGGTGAAAATATAGGATGTTCGGCGCCTCGTAGCTCTCGAATCGCGACTATCCTTTGGTTTGTTTTAAATTAGTACCTAACCATACGCGCTCGCGGCACGCTTTAACACCTTTTTAAAAGGTGACTGCTCACCGTTGCCTCGGTTCTTTCACCGGCGCCGGTAATTACGGGTTTCGAAGGCCAGCCACGTCAACATCGACGTGAATCTTGTTACGGGATACTCGTGGCTACATTCAGATCTGTGTTTCATATCGTTCTTGTTGGATTGTTTGTTCTTTTCGCCGACAAACCAGTCGAGCGTTTTCTCCAACTTCGCGAAAGTGTTCGCGATTTCAGTGAGTTTACGTTCGCGAGTGTAGGAATCGATGGTTGATTTGAATAATTGCCAGATTGCATCGCGATGTGATTTAGGTGATAACGGATTAAGTTGACACGTTATTTGCTCAAAGAGGTGAACATTTTTTTGGGGCACTTTTAGACGACCTTTCTTACCGACTACTGTTACTGAAGTTACCTGACTGGAATGTATTTGTACGTATTGAAAAGTTTCTCTTAAAAAATAAATCGCGATCTTGAAATCTCCTTGGATCAGTCCACCAGTTTGTCAGTCGCGATCGATGCGTGGTTCTGGACAGCGGCGCACGGAAATTGCCTGTTTCAGGCGCAGTGTTTCGTTCTTAATAATTAATTAACCCAGTCTGGAACATTATTTTGTCATTCTTGATTTTCGTGGAAATTAGTTAATATTCGCGAGTAAAAGTCGTGGAAATTTCTTAAAATTGCCCACTTTGGACACGGTGTTTGATTCTTAAATAACTATGTCTGGAGCACAATTTTGTCATTCTTGATTTTCGTAGAAATTAGTTGATTCGCGAGTAAAAATCGTAGAGATTTTGCAAAATTTCCCACTTCAAGCGCGGTGTTTAATTCTTAATAGCTAAATTATCAAATTATCATTCTTGACTTTCGTATAAAAGTCCCGCGATACTTGAAAGGTGTTATCGGTCGAAATAATAATACATCTCGAATACAAAGTACTTTCTTTAATTCATAACGATACAATTCGACTAAGTTGCGTTAAATTCTACAAGTTTCGTTATGCTACATATTACGATATAATCGTATATTACACATTTGTAACAAAACCATGGTTTAAGAGGCTGTGAACAAACTTTCCGTAAAATCGTCCAAAGTACAACGTTTCCTCGATCATTTTCGTATCAAATATTTCCTTCGCAAAATTTTTTAAAGTAGACAACAATAATTTTGCCACACGCAGAACGTAGAATATTAAAGAACACAACGAACAGAACAATAAGTATCGAAAGGATAAAATACGGAGACACAGTACTCTGGAAATTAGCAAAATCGTCGCGGTTCCACTTAAATTAGCGTTCTATAAATTTAGCAATTTTCCCACTAATATATACAGACGTTACAATCACAATTTCGTCAAGTTCAACCGAGCAAATACCATTTCTACCTGTAAAACCACTAAACGATTAATAATTACGCCTGCAACACGACTTTTTCCAATAAAATCACATTCACGTGTATTCTAAATTTTTATACATGTTTACAACCTCGCAACGATCCTAATTAAACTTGGCAAATTTACTAGAATATCGAGATAGCTGCTTCGGTTTATCGTTGACGAAACGAATCGCTGATACATTTTACAATGCACAGTTCTAACGATAGATGTGCGTGTTCACAACAGTTGCTGATAATAAATATTTACAACCGAGATGTCGATAAAAAAGGTCCCTGCTAAACAAACGGAACGTAATTCCAATAATTTACACACGGCTTAAACTGTGATCTAATAATACCTTTAAAACATCCGTGTACATGTATATTACAATAGTAATTCAATCGTCAAGTCGTATTTTCTAATATATACAAAGTTGAGTTAATTTTAATATTGGTACAAAGATGCTTTAATACCTCTCAATTACCATATTTCGCGTTTTATTTACAGATATATGCAAGTGACGACACCTTTCTTCTTTTGTCTTTTACGGGAAATGTACATTTAATTATCCTTACCTATGATTTTACACATCGTCGTCGTTTTCTAACTTCCTCGTAAATCACATCGACACGTCACATTTAAAACGTTCTCGCACACTCGACGAGTAAAACACACGTACCACACCCTATACACGTAATCATTTATACAAAATTGTTCGTTCGAAACTTCTACTGTACGGAAATATCTACTTCTTCGATCGTCCATCTAATGTACATTACACGTAGCACTCGTACGTTGCTCTGTACCAGGGGTCGGCAAACTGCGGCCGTCGGTTTCTTTATGGCCCGCGAGTTATTTACAGTTAAATGAAATATCCAAAAAGGGAGAATTCCATATTTCTCATTATAAATGTGCATTACAAATAAAGGATTTGTGAAAAAATTTTCATCTGTAGCTAACGCTAGGGCGGTCTTCGGGTCTTTTTTGACCCACCGCTTGACCCAAGTTCACGTTCCTTAATATTATATTAAGCATTTATTCTCCAGGCTCATACGTCGCGTTGGAAAGAAAAATTGTTTCACTGAATGTCTTAGGTCCTTTCTCACCCAAAAGTCTTAAGTGTAGAGCCGAAACGAAGAACGCACTAAGGGTTAACTTCCTAAGTGCATAGGGTAATTTCGGGAGAGACGGACCAGGCATGTATTTCCTACATTATCCGCCAGATATGGAAGAAAGAACACCGAGAGCCACGCTCGATCGCTTTCCGTAAAACAAATGTGAAACGAAAGAATACTGACACGTTCCACATATGTAGGAAATACTTGCCTGGTCCGTCTCTCCCGGAATTACCCTAATAATCTGAATGTTCTCTCTTGGCCCAGCAAAGCCAAAAAATATCTAGTATCCGGCCCTCCGGAAGAAAGGTTTGCCGACCCCTGCTCTACACTAATTTAATTGCACATCGATTAGGCCGAAGATGCATTAATTCACCCGATCTCTCGTGTTAACCGATCCGGATAGTTGAAATATTTCCAAAGAGAGTCGTCTACTGTTGAGTGTTGCGTTCGCGTTAATTTCGAATCCTCGTACGTACGTAAGAAGAGGAAAGATGAAGGACCGGTGACAAAATAACAAAGCATCAACGACGATCGTCACTTTGATAATTACAAGAAAACAGCCTGCAGGACAATCGAACAAAAGTGCACCGGCGGGGAAGAAAAAAAAAGAAGAGGTTCTATCATTTCCGTTTGTAGAACTAACGGAAATGAAAGGATCTCATTTGGCTAACGACGCGTATGATTTCAGGGCTTTTCACCTGAGGAACAAAGAAAGGTGAAAAAAATCGATAATACCGGGCAACTACAGATAAAGGGGTCGTTTTAAACGGCGATGCTCGATGATACTCGAAGGTGAGATAATTAATTAGAAAATGTTTCAACCAGATTTTCGTCCAGAGCAGTGTTCATTATATTCCTTTCTCACTTCGATCGTTTTCGACACCTACACAGGTGTCTTAAAATCAAGGTGAACGAACGAATTTTTCCCCTTAAATATTACGCGATAAGTGTGAAATTATTAACGGATATTTTCGTAATTCCTAGAATTACTTTTGGTTTGAAAAAAATATTCAAAACCAGGAATTCTATGTGTATGTACGTATAAAATATTCGTTATTAAAATAATTCCTACGGTTATTAACGTTCTAAATTTTTTCGTGACGATAGTTAAACTATCCTTGATAACTATTCATTCTTTTTCCTTCGACCGTCTTGGATACAAATATTTATCGATCCCTCTATCACGAATATCACATATGCAAATACGTACGGAATAGGACGGAGCAATTATTAATACTTGGTTTAATTTTACGACGCTTACTTTGTATCCCTACTTAGATGTACCTAAACGAAATGAATTAGGCGCGACAGCGTTTCTAATAACGTTGTACGAAGAAATAATGAAAACACTGCTCTTGAGTGGTGACAAAGATTAGATAACTGTGTTATCTTAACTAAAGTTACCTTCGAAATTCGTGAAATTTAAGACGACGAAAATTTCGAGAAGAAAAAAATATTCGTTTGCCCTTGGAAGTAATAACTGCAAATTATCTTCCTAATTTACACATCGTCAAAAGAAGCGTGTGTTATCTGAACTAGAGTTACCTTCGAAATTCGTGAAATTTAATCCTGTAGGGTGATCAAAATTTCGAGAACAACGTTACGGCTTTGATACTGAAAATTTTAAGGTAATAATAAAAAAAATATTCGTTTGTCCTTGGAAGTAATAGTTGCAAATTCTCTTCCTAATTTATCGGCGAGAAAAACATATTCCATTGTTGGAGGATATTTTCAATAATATTTTCCACGTAACATTTCGAGCAAATGAAAAAGAAAAGGAATTCATGGAATACGTTAATTTATACAATTTCAATAACATTCTCCGAAGCACAGAGAACGGGAGAAAAAATGGTGTTAGAAGGAAGCAGGAAAAAAAAATGTATATATGAAACATTGTGACTAATAAATCGTACGATATGGGATCTCATATACATATATGCGCTAGCGACTGAAAGTGATTTACAATAGGGCCGTGATAATTGCACGTCGGACAAATTCATTAATCTACTTGTCCGAGTAGACTGGAGGAAATGCAAAATGAACAAAGTTGTCATTATACGCGCAACGAAACGACGAAATACATATCGATTAATAACAACTCTTTTTATACGTATCTTCTCACTGATATCGCGCTTTTTTTTTATACCTTCACGATCAATTACGTCGCGATCAATTAACGCGGCTCTACTGTACAAAAATATTTACAAATCGTTTATTTCGTTTAACAGTTAATACTTTGTTTGCATTAGGTCAATCGAGTTCGTGCACTTGTGCCAGCAACGCCGATTGTCTCCTTTCTTTTCGGACGAATCAGTCGAATTATCGAAGCAACGTGTTTCCAATTAATCGGCGATTCGAAAAATTCCAGATTAGTCGCGAGAAATTTGGCGGGAAGCTGGGTCAAAGGTAGGGGTAAATTAATTACACCTGGCGATATAATACCGAAACAGTGTTTCACATCTCGCAGACTGTCAACTTTCGCGAGGAGAATCCTCGACTTCGACGAAAGTGTGACGCGGCGAATTGGCTATTAAAATTGGCACGAGTCCGGTTAAATTCGGCCACAATCCTGCCGTGAAAAGTTCGTGGCGAGGGAAACTGTTTCGTTGACGTTTCTTTGTTTTCAGTCAGAACCGAAGGGGTGGTTAAGTGGTCGTTAATAAATTGGCAATGTCGACGCGCACCCATTAATTGATCCCTCTTTCGCGGATGAGATAAATGACGATGAACAGGAACGGCGAACCCTGATCCCCGTTGGATTTTCCTCGAATAACCGTTCTTTTCGCTGGTAAACACTGACGTGACTACGACAGGGCAGATAGTAGGATTATGCAGATGGCCGTTCTAGATTGCAGCAGAAAATTCGAGCTTGTGCCCCTGGATGACATCGATTGCGCCGTGTTGTCGATTCTTCGTGGTCGTACCTCGCTGTCGATGCTTTTTCGTCCCTTTGTTGCTACACCGTTTTCAGCATTGTTGTAGCCGCCGTTATTTGCTCTTCCATGATGCCGCGTATCTGAGAAAAAAGGGGTGATTCATTATATTTCTGCCTCTACCTCGTATTCTTTTTTTTACTTTCGCTCTTTTTCCCGACTTCCAACCCATGCCCGGCTAATGAAACGCTCGTTTCACGTCGAGATATGAACGATCTTTAAATTAAATTGATTTCTTGCTGTCTGACTTGGCGGCGTTTTTTGAAGCGACAGAGTGGAGGAAAGTGGAGACTGTGGTCGAGTCGGTGATTTGGGAAATCGGTTGATAAAGGGGGAAGTGAAGGAGAGAAATTTTTTTTTAATTTCTCAAGTTCGGGAAACGAGAAAAATTGTTCTTTAGAGCTTAGAGCTTTCTTTGGATTTTCTTTAGGGTTCGGAGTTAAGAGACGAAAGAAATAAAAATAAATGTTAATATTTTTAATATCGTCGCGTTAGAAAAATTCTTACCAGCGTCTAAATTACGTTTTCTTTGGTGAGGAGTTTTCTTCAGAAGTTAATTCGCTTCAAAAATTTTGGTCGTTTAGCAACACTAAGCTTAATTACTAAGGAAATTTATTTCAAACGTAAAAGTCTGAAATGAAGAACTTGGGTCGAAAGATTTAAAGAAATCCAGAAAGTCGGGGCAACCACTTTGGCCCCGAAACGGCTCAATTGGACACACGAGCAATTTTCAAATGTTTTATTAATGACGAGCTATTAGTGTTCCCAGGAAATCGCAGAGTACAACGGCCACGGATAAAACACCGAAGTCGTTACTTATTATTCACCTCTTTTGTTGTTTCCCACAATGCTGTTTCTTCGGCTACATTTCTGTTTGTTTTTTAACCACTTTTCCCCCCCTGTTAGACTAAAGCAACATCGCTCTAATGCAGTATTCATAGACGCACTCTTGTGTGTATTTATTTCCAGCGCGAAAAAAAAAGTAGCATTTATCGTGTCAATGTTTCCCTCCTTGATAAAGCCTTGATAAAAATTGCTTCGTTTCTGATTACATTGTACTGTTCTCATCCCTCGCGAATTCCCAAGATTAGCAGAAATAATCACACTATGCGATCATTTTCTCAAAGATATTTCATCGAAAAACGGAAAATGCTTTATTGAAGAGTCTCGGTTTGTCATATCTCTCGTTGGTGATTTAGCGTGGAAAACAGGAAGGGAAATAGAGGATCGATAGGGGATGAAACTTAGGCGATAGTAGTAGAATCGAACGGTTAGGTTGGAGTTTGAAGCGCGAGTACGAGGGTAAAAAGGGACGCGGCAAGGTGAAAAGCAGATAAATAGCGAAGGACTAACGGGTTTTGCCGAGCTGCTAAACTTTCTGATTCACTCTGGACGATAGAATACAATCGAAGAAGAGAGCGTTGGGGTAAAAGCAGCCGGGGGAAAGTTTCGCAAACGGAAGATCAGATTACTTTCCATAGTTGAGAGGACGTGGTAGTTCATAAACCGCGTGGGATTTCATCAAAATCCCATTGAAAGCGCAGCGTTTGTCGCCTCGTGGATAAGATCTACGATGTCGTAGCACGTTGCAGAAAGTTCCCTGGGTAAATTTCATGCCTTTTCCAGAACTTTCCCTTGAAAAAGTTTCTCACCCCGCTGTGCGTAAGTTTGCGCATTACGCCGGCTCAATGATTTAAAAGACAGTTCGCCGGAGAATTTCTAAGTGGGATAACGTATTTACGTTAAAATACGACCGGCCTTTTCTGCCTTTCGTTTATCTTCCGTTTCCTGATCAAATCCTGTAATTAAAGGAGCGAACGATCGGAACGGAGAGAAAGGGGCTATTAACCCCTCGAACTTGGCATTTTTCTTAACTTGCTATGCCAGATATCGTCGATTCTATTTTATTTCTCGTTTTTGAATTATTTTCTGGGCGTATGGAAATAAGTTTGCCTTTATTTATCATTTGCAATTTACGTTCTTTGGTCATGATTGAGAGAATAACGAAATATGGAAATTGAAGGAGAATAATTTTGAAAAATTGAGCTCATCGAAGGTTCATTCTTGACTCTGAACTCTTTATGGGAATTGAAAGGAAATAATTTTGAAAAATTGAGCTCATCGAAGGTTCATTCTTGACTCTGAACTCTTTATGGGAATTGAAAGGAAATAATTTTGAAAAATTGAGCTCATCGAAGGTTCATTCTTGACTCTGAACTCTTTATGGGAATTGAAAGGAAATAATTTTGAAAAATTGAGCTCATCGAAGGTTCATTCTTGACTCTGAACTCTTTATGGGAATTGAAAGGAAATAATTTTGAAAAATTCAACTCATCGAAGGTTAATTCTTGACTCTAAACTCTTTATGGAAAGTGAGAGAAAATGATTGAATTCTTAACTCTAAACTTTTTATGGAAAGTGAAGGAAAATAATTTTGTAAAATTGCACTTACCTAAGGTCAATGCTTGACTCTAAGCTCTTTATAGAAAGTGAGAGAAGATAATTGAATTCTTGACTCTACATCCTTTACGGAAAGTGAAGAAAAATAATTTTGAAAAATTTCACTTATCGAAGGTTAATTCTCGACTCTAAACTCTCTCTGGAAAGTGAAAGAAAATAATCGAACTCTTGTTACATCGTTCGAGCGATTTTCCGCTAATTTTCGAGATCAGTTCGGAGACGAAGGTGGACGAAAGAGCGGTGAAAAATTTGGAAGAACGGTAGACGTTGGTTGGGAAATCTGTCTGGGGTATACAGGTACACGCGGCAAGTTTAATTCGATTTTTATTTAGAAAGTTTCCCGGCATGTAAGCGCGAGTGCACGCATTTGAATATTCAAACTTGTTTCGACAACGCCGCAACTGTTGCTGGAACGCACAATGGCAAGGATGAAACGAAAACTAGAATTGTTGAAAATGGTATCCAGAAATATTTAACATAGAGACGAGAAACGAACGAACAGAAGTTTCGTTCTGTTTGTTAAGTGGAGGATTTGAAGAATGCCTTCGTGTTTAAAATGTAGTTTAAATGAAACGTTCCTGATATATGCTCTAGTTAAAAGTTAGACACCTGTTTTTGACGAGAAACTAATTTGTTTAATTATCCACAAGCAAATAATCATTTTTAGTGAAAAAAAAAGAAGGTGACCTGTAACTTCGAAATGTTGAAAATTGTTATTAGAAATTGTGATTATGTTTTAAATTTTCCGCTTAGTGGACCGATGGACATTTTCTCCTTATTTAATCAGTTTCTTTTTTTAATATTCTAGTGCCCGTGGTTGTGGCGATGAACTTTCGAGCCTTGTACATGTTTGCACGATGTTGTGCCACCCAATATGATTGGGACTTGTAAATTGATCTATTTCTATCGCGTGATGTGAGCTGGTTGCTCCTTGGTTCTCCTTGTTCGTGGTGGTTGAACGACTCACTCTCCGACGTCGCGTCTCGGACGTCCGTGAGAGGGAATTTTTGTTAAGACACGTTGATTGGTTAATGGTGAACAATTGCATTTGCCAATCAGCGTGTCTAGTATCATCTTCATCTCCCTTCCAGTGCGCCCTTAGCGCGTTGTCACCTTGGAAGGGTGGGGGACGGTCGCGAGGGGTGGACGGAAAGTCCCAAAAATCTGGAATTTCCTCCGGGTGACTAATCGGCAAGCGGGGCCGTTCGGAAATTCGTGGTTTATGGTATGTTCGTAGGCTATTGAGCGCGAGGGACACAAATTACTAAAAATCTAGCAAAGCAATTCTAGTGACCCCTCGGAGGAGGTAATGAGACCCCGTAGGCTATTGAGTGCGAGGGACACAAATTACTAAAAATCTAGCAAAGCAATTCTAGTGACCCCTCGGAGGAGATAATGAGACCGGTGCAAGCAATAAACGACAATCCTCAACTCAAAAAGAACCGTGCCATAAACCGTTTCTACAGAAAACCTAACAAGATCATCTTCGATTTTTCATAGGTAAATCTATAATTTTTTAATTTTAGAAAACATGGTTCTTCTATCTGAGGTTTGTCTATGAAAATCTGAGGGCAACCTTCAGCCAAGTGTACCGAAGAATATTCCGATCGATCCACTAACAACGGAATAATTTCAGGTGATCACGTTACGCGATTCACTCTGTGAAAGCTTATCAAGTAGTATGTACAATGTGACAAATTACTTACCATCGTTTCTAACGATGTTAGGCAACGACGAGTCTGCTATTTGATGTGGACTTGGTTCCACGCTGGGTAGTGGCCTTTGTCGCGAGTTTTGAATATTTTCAACTAGAATATGCAAAACGTGTTGCTTCTTTATAATATTCTGCGATATTTATTAACCCTAGCACGCTCTTCGACTGTATTAAAATCTCTCAAAGACCTTGCGTGTGACAATGTTTAAGCAAAATTAATTTAAAAAATAAGAATTTTCGCCAAAAGTTTGGAATCACCTCCAAATTTTCATCAGTACTGAATCCGCTACTAATTTTTCATAGACTTGATATTGATATTGTGGAGATAAACAGCAATTTATCTCATATCGATTGATTTGAATGATACAAAATTTGTTAAAAAATTCTTAAAGCTGACACAGTGATTCCAAACTTTTGGCCGGTAGTGTAGGAGCAATTTATCTCATATCGATTGATTTGAATGATACAAAATTCGTTAAAAAATTCTTAAAGCTGACACAGTGATTCCAAACTTTTGGCCGGTAGTGTAGATGATAAACCTTCAATGTACCGTCAAGGGAAGATAAATTTGATAATAGCAAAAGTTATTTAAAGAATAAGAAGGCGATGGGTCAAAAAAGACCCGAACACCGTACTAGGGTTAGCATTTTAAAAAGTGGGTGTTTCAGAAAGAGAAATATTGTGGAATATTCAACATTTCTTATTTATTAACCCTTTGCAATCGAGTGGCGACTGAGAAGCGACTTTAAATAATTCTCACTTGGTGAATAATTAATCAAGACAGAGAGCAGATCTACGGGCCTCTACAAATTTGTCCGCCGCAGTGAAATAGAGAATACATTAAGTATTTCAATAAAATAGTATACTTTATTTCTACGTTAGTTTGAAAAAATTTCAAAGATCCTACTTGCAACCTTTCCTATAGCAAAATTACCTCCGAGTGCAAAGGGTTAACATTTCCGCGCAATTTTCTCCTCTGATGTTATCAGGTTTTTAACTAAATTCGCAATCTTATGTTTTGCAAATTTTTCTTTTCAATCGCGATAAATTTATGTGTCGCTTATTTTCGTCGATCTATGCATCGTTCGAAATCCGTCGATCTACACTACCGGCCAAAAGTTTCGAATCACCTACCACTTTTCGTCAATATTAAATCTGCTGCTAATTTTTTATAGACTTGAAGTTTATCTCAATTCTACCATTTATCGATTTATCTCGTATCAATTGATTCGAACGATCAAAAATTCTCAAAGTCTTTTGAGAAAGACTTTCGGCCGGTAGTGTTCGAAATCTCTTCGTTTGGTGATTGTTTTGAAATGTAAATTTGTTGTCTCAATTATCGACATACGCATGTACAAATTTATTTCAAAAAATACGATTGTCGCAAACTTGGTTGCCGATAATGAAAAATTGATTTGCATAAAATTTGAACACGCCTACCTTCTTCGACAGTCGAGATTCGAGTGGTAGTCGCCACTTTCAGTTGCGTCGTCGGTGTCGGAATATCTGCAAAATACGGAACAACAATCACACCTCCCTTCAACTATCAACGAATTATTTTCCCAAATCCTCCTCGAGAGTTTCTGCAATCGGATTCCCGTAGATTAATTAAGCGTGAGACTCAGGTAAAGCGCATCTGATGAATTAATTAAATCGCCTTTTAAGAATGGGTAAACCATCCCTCGCTTAATCTCTTCCTCCTCCGGTGTGCATTTTACTGAAACTGCAGCGTTGTTGCAGGCACCAGGTGCTCCTGCATCAACTCCTTTATTAAACACCGTGAATTCCACTTCGATCCGCGTTCCTCTTTTATCAAAAGAATCCCCGTGGTCATTTCAAATGATCATTTTCAACGGGAGCACGTTGTATGTTCCACCATCGTTTCCACATTCCTTCGCTGCCTATTTTGACGAGAAATTACACGCAACCTGTGTTTCACTAATCTATTCATTACTCGAACTGTTCGACGAAATAAATTATCCACGATTGAAGAATTCATTCATTCACGCTCTCGAGGCCAGCGACTTTTCGAAAGTCGGTTTTCAAGAGCGAAAATTTCTTGGTTTACTTTGCATTGAGAATTGAGGAAGGAGAAGATGTTTGGGAAGTGAAAAATTAACATTGTAAACATTTTTTAGGGAAATTATGACACACCATGTGTGTCTGTACTCAGTTCGTGGTCCTGGCTTGAAACCAACGCAGGTTTTAATATTTAGACAGCTTTAATTTGGATTTTGTTTAGGAACGGTCTTATTTCTGTAACGACATAATATGAATCCATGAATTATAGTTAAGATATGCAACCTTGAGGGCTTGAAAAAGTCGAGAATACTTTTTCGTCTTTCTTTGCAAGTTTTGCATGTCTACAGTACCTGTGATAGAAGGATTTTTTGAAATTTAATCTATTGTATAAATATAAATAAATTTAACAAGTATTACCATTTATTCGAATTAAATGCCTTTACTAATTTTCATACCAGCGTGTTAAATTGTATCAATTGGATTCCCTTCAGATAGGTTTTTGGCAAGAATTCTTGTATATTTTCAATGTCAATAAAGTTATTTACTCGTTATACAGTGCATTCTGTAGTTTCAATATTTACTTTAGAACCAAATAAATATCTAATTTTCACATATTTACCAAACTGGTAACGGCACTTGCTCACAAAAACAGCTCGCCGCTGTGTTAATACAGAAACTCGAAGGACGTTTGATATACTTACGATAGAGCTTAATACTGCCGTCTGTTTCTCCCAGAGAGTTTTTTGATATGCATTTATACGTCCCGTAGTCCGACATTCCCACCGATAGTATCGTGAGCTTCATATGCACCTTGTATGCATTTTCCGTGAGCGACTGACGGTACTTCTCCTCTGAAAAAAGCCGCAAAATTAACGTTGAAATCGGTAAATAACGCAACGCTATGAGACCTGAGGATAACGATCTCTCACTCACGCGTGTACAACGAAATGACAGATGAAGGAGGAGCAATGTCGAGGTTTTCTGATTAGCAATTCGACTGAACGCGAGATCGGAGTGGAGAGCGAAGCGAGAGTGAAATCTATAGGTGTAATGATCCGCGGGTAAAGCGGAGAAGTATTTTCTCAGTTGGGTAAAATTTCCTGGGAGACGGGGGCTGGGAGGGAAGAAACGTTAGGAGAAAAGAGGAAGAAAGGTAGAATGCATCTATGTAGTGGGCGGCCATCGAGCGTTGCAAAAGGGAAGAAAAACTTTCGTCGGCTTTGAGTTTGGAAAGCAGATGAAAAAGTTTAACGACGTTGAACTGCGTTGTCGAGCATTACCGCACTAGACGTCCAATGGATTTTCGTGTATAAAACAGCTTTTATCCGAAAACTTGCCGATATTTCTATTCTCTTCGTAATACCACGCATCCTTGATACGCGATATTTAATTAACCCATTTCGCAAACTTTTTATTACCAACAGGACGAAGGTGTAACGACAATTTTCATTACGACGGTGTACGCGGAAGTTGAATATTTTTCTCGAGATTTTTGGGAAGTGATTTTGAGGAAAAAGTGGTTTTCGAACAACCCGTTGAAGATTTCGTGCTTTAAATTACAGAAATGATTAGGACGCCTTTGGCCAAGTACGTGACGTCTTCTGTTGGATATTTGAAGTGCTACGGTCAAAAATGAGAGTGACCACGTAGAGAGGGTCTTTTGTTTAGAAAAAGTGAGAACTGATATATTTCTGACCTCGCTTCAACTTACGACTCGCACAGTTCGGACGTTTTCTCCGGTAAATCTCAAATGAAATAAAGACAGTTTATTTAAAAGTTAAGAAAGAAAGTTTATTAACAATCCACTGTCCCAATCCAGTAACTTCTGTTGAAACGAAGAAATAATTATACGGCATACTAATTTATTTTCCACTGATCATTCTTGTTTCGATCGAAGATTAACACGTTCAGGACGGTGTGACCCACCAATGGGTCGTTCAAAATGACGGTAAAAAAGATGGAAGAGAGTGTCATCGAACCGGTGAATCACCGCGTTTTCAGATCACACACTGAAGAATTAAGTATTAATTATAATACACACTTCGGTCATGAGAAACGCTGGTGAATTTCACTGTCGCCCTAAATGTGTTGAAACGACACCGCCCAATCGACCTCAAATGATGAAAAAAACTCTAACGTTCCAGTCTTACGCCTAAAGAATCCACTTCTAATTACTGATATCGCACAAAAAAAAGAAAAAGTATAACACAGTTTTAAAAAAACCTCAAAGCCATACCTGTCACGATTTCCCTAAATACGTCCTTTATCCAAAGCTACATATTTCTGTTTAACAGAACGATACGCTGGAAAAAGAAAAAATAGAAACTGTCAGGCGAAATATTTCCATTCGAGTCCATTTTGTAATTTCGTACGTGAACGTGTGCCCACATTTGAATCCCAAGCTGAAGTTTTTCGACGTTGGAATGAACGTGACAGAGAACGGGCGGGCAGCTCCGGAGAAAAGCGAGAAATTCGAGTATGCATCTGCGAGGGGGATGTTCGTTAGCTGAAACTTTCGCTCGGGAATTAATAATACAGCAGACATCGTTTTCCTTCGGTAAACCGCATGTTACAAGTGAAGAGAGTGGTGCAAAGAGCAGAAGTCATGACAATCACGGGGCATTAAAATTGTACACACAGAGCGGAGCGAGAGAAGCCAGCAGGTCCAGAAAACGTCTGGTTTGAGATGGTTTGAGAGGGGTGTGAGTCGTCGTGATGCGGGAAGGAAGAACGGGGTTAGGATAGAGCAATGCCGGAGAGGGATGAAAGGACGGTAATAGCATTGGTAAGTAGCCTCAGGCATGCTGCTACTCTCGTGCAGAGACTTGCTCCACCACCGAGCGTGTTTTACTTTCGTTTGCGCGATATTTGACCGTGCCCAATAACAATCTAAGATTACGCCGTTCCGTCGGAAGACAAAGACGCTGTTGGGGGAAATTTGAAATAGATACTCGCCGGTATAGTAGAAATTTGCATACGTTAGATAGTGGAAAAGGGTTTTTATGGTATAAAAATTTAGAATGTCAAATTCAGACGATCGGAATTTTCTGGAAATATTTCATTTAACGAAGGGAGCATCACTTGTTTCTGTAATTCGTTAATATAAAAATATCGAGTTTCACTTGGAAGAAATTAATTAACTGCTGCTTTGGTCTCGACATCGTTTTCAAAGGGCTTATTTGCAAAAAGTTTGACATAGTCAGAGGTAAGTGACAGTCTTAAGAAGGCAGGTCTAGATTAGAAAACTTCCGATGTTCTTTAAGCAACGAAGCAACGCGAGGCCAACTTCCTGTTAACCCTCTGACGCTCATGATTATTGAACGTTGGATATCAGCGCTCTTTATATTCATATTCGACATTTTGTATTTATATTACTTTGCAAATATAAAGTACCAAATATTCTGTACTTTAAGCTCGAATTGCCAACGGTCAAATGGTTAACAAGAGCAACCTAAATTAGTCCAATTTTAAAAGAAACTTCAGTGACCAACTAAACAGATAAAAGCTTCCACTGACACCAATCTTACGCGTTAGATTTGTGAACTACATATAAGAAACTCGGTTTAAGTTTATCGCCGACAGAAAAACCTCGCGAACGTTTTTTCCTCCGCCTAATTTTTCCAAAGTGTATATCAAGCGGTGTAAATAGGTACCAATCGCCTGAGGCCAGATTTGGTCGAAGGTAACGTCTGAAATTAATATCAAGTTCAACACACGCTGCTAATCCTCAATGGTAAAGCACATTTCGCCTGCAGATCTTGTGTAAATAGCATTCAGAATTAACTTAATTAACAAGTCCGCGTACGAGGATCATAGCGCATGGATCGTTGGCCTTCTTACTACATTTGCATCTCTACAGCAGCTGGATGCATTAGAGGATCCTAAGATACATTATTCCATATGGTTACTACACCATACACGACCTTCACGAATATCGTGTCTCATTATCTGAAATAATTACACGAACATGCCACCGGTACACACACCGAGCTAATTCTACTATGTTCTTTACTTAAACCTACCTTTCTCTCTCTCACTTCTAACAAGATAACGACAATGTTCACGAGTTTCTACAACGACGGTGCACAACCTGCAACCTTTTACAGAAAAAAAAATTTGTAGAACGTAGTAAGTATGAAATAATAGCCAAAAAACGAGATGAAACGATATTTCTGAAAAAATTTCTAATTTTCCTGGGAAATGATAATTTTCCGGAGAAGGATCGTTATATCTGAAAAATTGTCTATTTTCCCTGGGAAATGATAATTTTTGGAAGAAAGATCGTTATTTCTGAAAAATTGTCCATTTTCCGGAGAAAGATCGTTATTTCTGAAAAATTGTCTATTTTCCCTGGGAAATGATAATTTTCCGGAGAAAGATCGTTATTTCTGAAAAATTTTCTATTTTCCCTGGGAAATGATAATTTTTGGAAGAAAGATCGTTATTTCTGAAAAATTGTCTACTTTCCTTGGGAAATGATAATATTTGGAAGAAAGATCGTTATTTCTGAAAAATTGTCTACTTTCCTTGGGAAATGATAATTTTTGGGAGAAAGATCGTTATTTCTGAAAAATTGTCTATTTTCCCTGGGAAATGATAATTTTCCGGGGAAAGATCGTTATTTCTGACAAATTTTCTAATTTTCCTGAGAAATTATAATTTTCCGGAGAAAGATCGTTATTTCTGAAAAATTGTCTATTTTCCCTGGGAAATGATAATTTTCCGCAGAAAGATCGTTATTTCTGAAAAATTGTCTATTTTCCCTGGGAAATGATAATTTTCCGGAGAAAGATCGTTATTTCTGCAAAATTGTCTATTTTCCCTAGAAAATGATAATTTTCCGGAGAAAGATCGTTATTTAACGACACAGTGCAAATGTTTACACGCGAAATTTAACATTCATGTAATTAACGGTGGACGTTAGTGTTTCTAATGAAATTTTCTGGGGGGGAAACGTTGAGGGGTTTTCGAAAAAGCGGAAGGCTCGCGTGAAATAGTATAAATTGTTGGAGAAAGATGCTAGCGCGTAGAACGATAAAATGTTCTGTAAATAATCCTCGGACGTGAAAAGTTTAGTAGCAAAGTCTCATTATTCGAAGTAATTATGGTTCCATGCATTTCCACGTATCCGACTGCGACGTTGTTAGACCCGTTCCGGTAATGTACGGTACATATGTGCCGTGTATTGTGCCTACGCTCGTTAATAAAACACCGTTAACTATGTTGGCCACTACGGTTCAATCGCTCTTCAGTGAATTAGCAGTCCAGGAACACGTCCATTACAAACGTGCAAACGTGAACGCACAGTGTGCCTCCCGTTTATGTATGGACGCGGTAAAATACACACCGGATAACTTTTGCTTCGTTTTATTGTACGTTTTCTCTACATAGATTTTATTATTTCGGATCGACGTGTGATGTTACGCTTCCTCGATAAATGTCACCAAGCTTTAAGCACGGCTAGTTTCCACGCTTAATAACGTTGCCCGTTTGAAACAAAAATTGCGATGCGTGGAAATTTAGGTTGGAAATTACGTTTCTTCTCAAGCTACTTCGAGGGAAGGTTCCTCTGGGGGGAAATGTGAAGCATTTTTCTCTTTCAATATTTTGGATAATTTGTGTCGATGTTTTTTCGGAGTAGTGTATTGTGTTATTTTATAAGCGACCTCGATTTGGAAGCCTAATTTCGATGGAAACAGTAGTTTTGCGTTTACTGTTAATCGATGATATATTCAAGCCTCTTTTCAGAAAAATTCCTATATTTTGGATTTAAGAAACTTCGAGCAACTTTTGAAGTTTCTGCCATTTAACACTGGAATTACCAAACCTTTCATTCGATTTCACACTTTTTACTTTAAATTACAGAAATTATTCAGATGCTTTTGTAGAAATGAAGGAATAATTACACATGCCAATTTATTTTCCATTAACCGTTCGAATTTCGAATTCTTAGAAAGTTTTCTAGCGAACGAAATAGATGGTAATCCATTTTTCTTCTTCAAATCCAGTCACTCGGCAACGCGGTACGAACAAATGCAAAAATACTTTCTATACTTAAATCTATCGCGAATTAAACCTAAAAAAAAAAGAATGTTTTCCTTTCCATGTGTACGAACATCGAACTTACGGGCTGACCTAATAGAAACTATGTTCGCGAGAACGCGTCCTCTGTCTTCTTTCTTCGGTCCAGCCATATTTCCCCGTGATTCGATAGAAAGTTATTAAATAGCGCGGAAACTATCGGATTTAACGTTTCTTTTTTGTTGTTGTAAATTGCTTTTGCCTTCTCTACGTGAAAAATATAAAGCCGGCGGAAAGAAATTCTCCCTTTTCCATCCACTGGATATGATATAACCGTTATTCGTCCACAGGAAGATGTGCTATCCGATTTCATTTTAAAAGCTAACTATTTCACCGGAAATTTTTGAAACTTTGTAAACCACAGCGAAAAAGTTCGATACCACTGCGTGCCAATTTTTAGCTCTTTCAGGTAACTTTCGACAGAGAGAGAGAGAGAGAGAGAGAGAGCAAAAAATTACGGTGCGAAAGTAACCGTGAGCTACTTTTGCCCTTATTTTTTTTCTCTCTCCCAAAGGTAAAAATATCGCGGAGAAGAAATTATTATACACGGTTGTTCGCAACGGACGAAATTACAATTACGTGGAAATATTCGTAACGAAATACCGTTTTTAATTATCTCGTTGTTCTCCTTGGTCCAATAATTGATCGACTTCGGAAAGGCTTCCGAGTTGCATTCCAGGGTCATTCGCTGTCCCTCCTCTGCACCGACTAATTGATTCTGGATCGAAATCATCGGTGTGACTGTAGATGAAACCAGTTGGAAATTTATCGTACCGCGAACGAAACGTTCGGAAGGATCTAGAGAAAAGATATTCACAGTGTACTATCAGCATTATCCTTTTACTGATGGTCGGCGGTATGCCGTTGGAAGCGATGCACAAGTACGCGCCCATCTGTAATCGGTTCACCTTGGTGATATTGAAGATCGATCCTTCTACGCTTCTCACTGCAACACACACACACAAATATCCATGAATCGTCGAATTAAACGAAACAGTTCGCTCGAGTGACAAAGTCGCGATCGTCTGTAAAAATTAGACTTCTCGGGAAGACGTTTCGTCAGTCTCCCTTCGAATAGCAAAGTTGCCCTCGGACAACAAACTTTGAGGAACTGTAACTACATGTTTTTCGAATCGAGAGCACTTCGTGTCCTTAAAACTTGCAAGAACGTTCGCGGAGTAAGCGAAAATTTTCAGCTGCGTTTGCCAATGAGTTCGCCGCCGTTTCTATGTACTCCTCGTCTCGATCGATTAAGCGACACAAGCTAGAAGTTTTTTTCCTGCGCGAGATCTGTCGAATGATTTCATAGTTGTCCAGTAGAATACGTGTACCGTTTCCATGTTTTCACGGGTAATTTAACTCGGGAGGAAATTCCATATCTGGGCGGTTTTGTGTATCGATCAATTCAGCAAATCGACGATTATTTCGGGAAATAACGACGTTGATTTCGTCTAGCAAAAAGGGTATAATATCGTAGCCGAAATTAATGCGAACTGATCAAATCGTGCTTTGCGCCCTGTATACCTTAGATACCGGGCGACCGCACCCGGCTTTTTGTTACTCCGTTTAATCTGAGTAAGCACTACTCGGCGGGTACGAACGTATTCCTGGCGAATTGCGTCTTGGATGTAACGCTTGTCGAGAATTTCTTGCTAACCGCAGTTCACCCCCGGGAACGCCTGATTATACTCTGTTATATCGTTCATAGCCTGATTACGTTTTCGAACACGGTGGAATTGTCGAATGAGACGGGAGGGGAAAAAGACGAGACAGTTTGGAATCTGATCGTTACTGTTCCGCGATTCTTTTATTCCATTTATTGATAATTGAAGGTTTACGTTCAAATTAACGCTGTTAAACCCTTTGGCTGCTGGCAACTCGAAAGTAAAGCTCTACTATTGGTATGGCTTGAGTTATGGGATTGAATAGTCATACTGCGTATTTCGTTAGGGAATATTTTGTATTTTATACGTAGGAATCGACGAAAAAATTTCGAGGGACCTAACGGGAATCGAACCCGGGACCTTCGGATTAGCAAGCCGAAACTTTGCGCGCTACGCCAACTGCTCCCTCTATATTGTCCCCTGCCGGTTTACTATTTGGGGACGGAGGTCCCGATACTACGTATATTTGCAAAATAAGTAATGTGCGAATATGAATAGGGAGAGCGGTGATAGTATCCAGCGTTCAAAGGGTTAAACACCCGCGTTATGAAATCGAATGATTATTTACATTATGTAGATACAAATGAGAGTTTCGAGACTTTGGCGGCCCGGCTCGATACGGGTGTTATTATTTGAGGCTTCCGGGTGTACGCCGTGTCCAACAGAAATTCTATTCCGACGTTTCACCAGCATTGCAGCTGGCTTCATCAGGGTCTCGAGACGCGACTGATAATGGTGTGTGTCAGGGTGTTCACTCCTATAAGTACCCATGTTCGGTGAAGTCAATTAAATATCAATTAGAATCCATTAAAATGAATTCGTTAACGGGAGGAGGGTGCTCTTTTGTTGTTATTACGGTTTTTCATCATTTCTAACGATTCCCTATATTTGCGTGGGAAATATCCTTCTACCGAACAAAATCTTGTGCCCTGTTTCTTTGATTTAATTTAATTGATTGATTTTTAATTATATAGCTGCAATGCTGGTGAAACGTCGTACATCCGGAAGCCTGAAATAACAACACCCACGTAGATACAAAGTTTTCAATTTTCTCTTTTTTAAAGTTTCTTCTTAAATTTCTCCGCTGCAAACGTGTCCACAGATCTTTTTGCGATATTGCACAGTGTTTTCGGATGCTTCTGTTCGTCCCACAATTTCTAGCGTTGAACCTCCTAAATATTTCAGTTTCTTTTGTACTAATTATAACAAAATACCAGCCATGTCTGGTATAACAAGTCATAATCTTTCATCTAAACTTGATTTCTCGTAAAACGTTAAGATGGTCCCGTGACTTACAGACGAGAGTGTACGTGCCCGTACGAAATTTTTCAGCAACCACAAGATTAAGCTCTGTTTAAACCTGAGACACAATGTCTGTCAGGAAGTCTACAAACTGGAAAACTTCCTCCGAGAAATATTACTCGCTGCTGCTATTTCCGCGACCCCCGTTGACGTTTGTAAGCTCTGAAACACTCGCGGTCCAGATTTATTAAAGCTTCGAATCAAGGTTAAAATTTATATTTCCGTCGGTTTCAAGTCTGAAACCTCCTTCTTCCCAGCTTCGCTGTGTGCAAGGAAGTTTTCAAATTGTCGAATTAATTGTTGCGTTTAAGTGTTTAGGGGAAAGTGTAACGCGAGTGTTGGAGGGCGAATATGAAAAAGTTGGAGAATTACGAGAAACGTTGGTGAAAATTGTACCACAGGGTTTTGGAGAAGTTGGGTTTGTATATGCGGTGGTGTCAATGGCGGGTTCAGTGGC